TTAAGTAAACTGGTTGTATTTGCTCTGAGCCTGGCAGTCTGTAATGAAGGGGAGAGTTGACAGAGCATTTACTTTTTCACCTCTCTAATAGAATTCCTTGCCAATTGGGCAGGAAGGGAGGTCTGGTTTATAGTTGTTTCTGGGGATTTCCCCATGAAATGGAATTTGTTGCTTTACAAGTATATATGATATTATGAAAAAGAATGTGGAGGACTGGAAGCTGCTTATTTATTAGACTATAATGGCATAAAACAAATACCATTCAATTATTTGTGACCTTTTGATATTAAATGAAATATATACAAATGCACATCCTAACCATTCTGCTTGTGTCTTCAGTAGTGTAATTTTTTTTAGCAGTCCTGCAATTTTGAAGCAAATCTTGGAACTAGTTCTTACTGTATGCTGATTGAAATGTACTCCTGAGCCTATTTGAGGAAAACTGAACTAAAAGTTTTATTCCAGGAGTCTACAAAATTGTCCTTTGGCCAACACTGAGCCATGACTGTATATGGTGGATATGTCTGATCCAGGGAGTCCTACCTAAATTAAAATGCTCTGCATCTTACAGGGTACAGCTATGGGGTCTCAGCAGTAACTGCTTTGATTTAGTGATCTGCCAAATTATATGCTGTATTTCATTATTGTTCCATATTACCTCACTATGTTTCATATGCCTTCATTTCATGTCCTCATTCCATCTCCTGTTCATTCTTCATGTATCATGACAAAAGCTTTGTAGAGCTGCTGTGTAGGCAGAAGACTCAGGTTATTGTGAACCGAAGAGAAAGAAACCCCAAGGAGAAGGATCAGCCTAGTGAGTACATTGCCAAGGACTCCTTTTCCTTATTTCAGAAATGCATCAGTTCATATATTTTGTGTGCAAGAGTAACAGCAAGAGACATCAGTCCTCAAATAAGATGATCTCAAGTAGATGAAGTTTTTTGATTTTTACAATCCGCAATTTAAATTCCATGTGAAAGGCAAAGCAGCAAAATCTGTCTCTTCAAGTAGATTTTGTAATATTCAATTACATTAGCTTAGTTGTGGCCATTTTTTAAATAATTTAAACACTGCATTTTATTACTAATTTCTTTTTTTTAAAAGGATTTAGATTCCAGTCTATGAGGATGACATGCTGTCCCTGATCAGGACACGATGAAGGAATTAACCATGGTGACGTTTTCATATTTGAGATTAAAAGAAGACACACGTCTGCCAAATGCAAGCAGAAGGAAAAATCTTGTTACTTTTTCTAAATCCTCTGAAAGCAGCTGGATTTTTAACTTATCCAAATTGTGAAATTTTGTTGAGATTGATGTCCACATAACAGTGTAGAGAAGCACAGAATATCATAAGAATTCAGGATGTGTGCTGGTCTCATAAGAGAAAATTCAGGGAAAAAAGCAAGAGTGCATTTTCTCTTCAGTGGAATAAGCCAATTACTTCCCTTTAACTTCACCCTCATGCAGGCACTTGTTTAAAAACAGCAGATGTTTACAGTTACTGACTGTGACTTGTTTTTCTCATTTATTCTGGAGAAATTTTTTACTTTACTGGGTTTTTCCTGCACAAAATCTGAGCAAAATTTAAAGGGTCCACAGTGTTATCTAATTACATTCTTTCTGCTGTCTCCACTAACTCTTTAACTTCCTCAGCCCAGCATAAGCATGAGACTTGAGAGCTGGAATAATGCATCTGGAGCTGGAAGATGTAGAGGAGATTTACACCTTTCTGTCATAAGTGTTATGATGCTCCTGGCTGGCTGCCTTATCAGGATGGCCTTGGAGTCCAGGCACAGTAATGGGGCTAGTGAGATGAAGCTATTTGCTAGCTTCTAAAGCACTAAAAAAGTAAAAGTGTTTAGTTTTTCTATTTGGAAATAATTGTCAAAGAAGCATCTATATAGCCAGCAGTGTAGTAGATACATTGTCATCAAATGCAAAGGAGATGCTCATTTGTAGACTTCAGTTCTGTACACTTTTTTTATTATGGGACCACGTAGCTACAAACACAGTGTGATTTTTTCAAAGTTGGATTAGTTTGAAAGATGTGTAGTTCTTTATGGGATGTTTAGTGGAGTGTGTTTCACACCCTGATTTATGGAACACAGATCTCTGCAAGGTTTGTGGATCTTGCAGGAAAAAATACCTGCAAAGCAAATGAATGTATTTGAAATTATGTTAACTTGGATAGCTTCATCTGGTAGCAGAATGGTAAACAGCAAGGCTGTACCCAAGGCTTACTCTAAATTTGCTCTGGATTACACCTACTAGGGGCTTGTTATTATGAGCATGTTAGCAGTGACAGCATGCAATGCCTATTTCAAAGAGACTGAACAAATAAAACATGTCCCTAGATGGATTTAAAATGTAGAGTGCCCCTTTCTAGTTTTCTGTAGCTTGCTAACTCAAAATGCGGCACAAAGAAAGGAGATGAGCAAATGTTGAATGATATGAGATGGCAGCTATGGTTGGCTTAGAGAACTGTTCTGCCTCTGGCACTTTGGATCATGAACTTCATCACATCTGAGAAATGTTAACAGCTCGGCCTGGGGGCTTTAGCAGTTCTGAGTGTCTTTGTGGGTTTGTACTGACAGCTCCCCTCCATCAGTATGCAGTGATTGGCATGCTGGGGGCTCACATGCAGGAGGGTCTCAGTCTGCTATTCTTGTGCAGAAACACCATGATGGGCATCTGAGTGATGTTTTAATTTGATAATGAAAGCACCATTAAACCAGAAAAGAGAAAAATGCCTGTGTTTGTGGCACAAGATATTTTGTGTGACCACTGAGGTCATTTGAGACAGGCCTGCTGTTGAAATAGTTATACAAGTTTGCCAGCAATGACTCACTACAGTGGTGGCTGCAGATAAATTCCAGTTGCTTTCTACTTGTTTTTGGAGGTTTTGGTATAAGGGGTTTCTGAATGTTGCCTAAAGATTAAAATTCTAGCAAGCTTAGATTTGCAATTTCCCACATTTCTTCATATCTGAAATGCTTCAACAAGCTATGATCAATACATCCTGCTGTCCCTTTTGACTGTGTCAGAAGGGGATATAATATACTTTAGCACCATTAAAACCTTTTGTTTTTTCAGTCCTTCATGTGCCTGTTTATAAAGAGATCCTGACTGGTGTAAGAACGCAAATAATTTTGGATGCTCATTTCTCAGATGTTTTCTCATCTTTCTCATTTAAAGAAATGTATTATGATATCACATCATCACCTCTGGAAACCAAACTCATGGATTTGGGTTGTCCTGGATAATGCTACACCTGTGTCTTTCTCTCCTTGTCTATATCATGTATTTAGAGATAGCTCTACTTTATTGTAAATAACTGACAGTGTAAATGGCCAAATGTATTGTTCTTCCATCCTACAGAATTTTGGTAATAAAATGTTTCATATTTGGACCATAACTATGCAGGATATCTGTGGCAGAATTAAATAGGATCTGTGTTCTTAAGCTTTTTGTGGTACTTTTTAGCTTGAAAGGCCTTACAAAATTAAATACTTACAGTGACTATTTATCTTTTCTAGTTTCTTTTCCAGCTGTTGAAGGTTTAGATTTTTATTCAGCAGAAATAGATTTTATTCTTTAAGAGCCACAGAGGTTCTGTATGTATCTATATATTCAATATTGCAGGGGTTCTGTATATAGAGAGACAATTTTCCTATAGTTTAAGAGCTATATGTGGTTTTGTACTCTATGCAGCTAGTTGTAAAATTAATTGTCTATCTATTGTCCATCCAGCTGGAACTGGCTATTGGCCTCTTGAGAAGTAATGCAGGACCAGTACAAGAAGAATAGTTACTCCCAGTTCAGCATAGAGTTACTGTCCTTCCTATATGTAACTTTGAAACTCTGAATCCACATTCGTTGCAGCTAGTAGTAGTTTGCTGGTTAAGGGATAATGGTGATGCCTGGGAAAGAACATGATTGGGATAATAACAGGCTCTTCAGAACTGATTTTGTGATTCTGTTCTGTGAGGTGCACTGTCATCTTCATTTGAGTGCTGCTGTTGAATGGGAGGAAGAAACCTTTCATTACTTGCTTGTTGCTGATAATGATGCAACAAGAACAGTGTTATCAATGAGTCTTTGCAGCTTCCACTAACTGTCGAGCGTGGAACTGTAAATGCTTTTTTTGTTGTTCTTTGAAGGGATATTAACAATCCTCATACTATAGAGGATTATATACATTATATCCTAATAGATACTAAGATATCTAATGTTACTTTGAAAGCACAAGTGAATTAATTACCCTTGTAATACTTCAATGAAATGTAAAAATTCTGCAGGTGGTGAATAGGGACACAAAATTAAATGTTTCTTTCAGGTAACTCAGTAGACCTTGGTAAATGCATGTGCTGGACTGAAATGTCTTTAATTGAGTTGCTACTCTTGTTTCTGTACATAAACTGAATGAAAAAACACCCACATTTTCTAAATTTGGCCCAAGAGTCACTAGTCAAGCTGAATTAAGACACCTCAACAAAGTAGCATCAATGTCATCTCTCCCAAAGACTGAAAGCACTCATCCCTTGATGATACCCTGCTACTACTGCTTCAAGCTTTATTTCAAATTCCTGAAACTATCTTTAAGTAATCTTCTAAATAATACTTTTCTATAATTTTAACTTTGATCATACCTTAGAAAAATAGCCAGAGCAAAGTGCTGTTTATGTCTTTTTGCCTTTTGAAAGGTTGAAGTTTAAAATTATTATTGATATTTTTCTTCCATGAGCTTTACCTTGCTGGCTATGAAAATCTTTCAGCAAAACTAGTGGTTTAGTGGTATTTCAGATATCTTTACCTCTCTCCCTTGTTTGTTGTTCTTCTGTGATGCCATAGTGCAACAAATAAATAATGGTCTGTGTTTGCAATTACTCCCTGCGGCTGTTCTCTGCAAAGCTCTAAGGAGAAAAATTACTTGGATGATTGCAAAAACTAGTTCATAGCCAGGAGAGTCCTGATCCTGTACTTGTCTTTTCACAGGCCTCCAGAACTGGCATCAAAGTATGCCAATTTCTCTGAGGGAATGTGCAAGCCAGGCTATGCATCAGCGCTCATGACTGTCATCTTCCCAAAGTAAGTAATCACTGTGGGAGTTTTTTTCCCACTTCCCCCGATGACTTCTCATCCTTCAAGGTGGGTGATAGGCAGAGTTTGTCTTGAAAAGTGTCATTATTTTGTTACTTGATTGGTTCACGGGGAGACCAGTGTTGAAATTCTGGACAATTTGAGTGGTCAGTGGCAATGGCTTAGTTGACTTCAGCCTGACTAGGACTTTGCTCAAAGAGTAGAGACTTCTGGGTGTTGGGTAATAAAACAAATTATGTTGTCAGTGCATGATAAAGATGTGTGGCCAGGCTAACTGCTAGTACCAGATGATGCAATGCTTAGGAAGCTTTGGTCATAATAAATTATCTGGAGCAGATAGCAAAGTGTGGTGTTTTGTTGTAGTTATTTTGGGTGTTTTGTTGGGAGAACAGGGTAAAGCATCCCTCAGGTGGCTGGAGTTTATAGAATTGCTGGGAGACAGTTCAGATGATAGATTGGCAGGAACGTTAATCTGTTGAGGCTCAAGGATTTCAGTTTGGAGCATTGAGTGGAAAATTTGACCAAATGGTTGTTTGACCATTTTACAAGCTCCTTGTACACGTGGAAGAGATGCTCTAGTGCAATGATCTCTTTGGCAAATGAGATTGTGGACTTCTTAACATAACTAGCACTTTTCCAAAAGAGGTATTTTATTTCTTTTAAAGAGGGAATTTCCATGACCTGTGCATCTAAAGCTTAGGTTGAGTGATCATGGCCTTCAAGCCAAGCCTGAAACTGGTGGTATCTTCTGTCATTGCTTTTGTTGACAATGATGGTGACTAGAAGCTTTTTTAAAATAAAACAAAAAAAAACCATTGCCTTGTAACCAGTAGATACTACAGACAAGCCTTAAGAACAAAACAAAACACTGAAGTTCTCCATCACTGGTGTAAACCAAACAATTTTCAGTATTATCTTCTGTGAGAACTTTGGAGCTCTGGGTAGAATATAAATACTAGAACTGAAAGTGAGTGCTTTTAAATCTGTGTTTGTATACATACTAAATGCAAATAGTAGAGAGTAGGATGAACTCATTATTGCAAAACTATTAATCTTATTTTAATTTTAAGAATACTTTGGCTTTCAGAAGGAAGTTTTTAGCCTCCTAGAATCTGAAGTGATATTTATTCTCTCCCTCAGCAGCTGCTTACACATCTCTGTTCAGTCACCTTCTCCCAGTAGTTGACTGCCTTGAACTAATCCATGCAAAGAGGTACAAACATGTCTCTAGTCGAAGCAAGTGGTTGTTGTCTTTTTCATACACTGAAAAATTGTATTAACAATTTTAAAGACAGCTTCTCACCAGGTATTTATGTTCAGGTTCTTGTTTAACATGGACCCTAAAACTTAACTCATGTTGATGCTTTTTCCTGTGATATCTTTGATTTCTTTGCCAACTGAATTCAGTGTTGGACATTTCATTATTTTACTGAGTACTGCTGTAAGGATGGCTGACCAGTAGATCTGAAAAATAATCATGCTACACTTAAAATTCCTTCTCTTTTGCAACTTTCTTTGTACTCAGAGAACTATGCAAAGTTAATATTACCAAGCCAGGTATTCAATATATTTAGAACTCTTAAAACCAAATTATCATGCCTGTTCATTTAAAGATTCAAGCTGCATGATTTGTTTTATTCTAGCTTTTGGTTTCAGTTGATTGTATCATTAAGAAATCATCATCTCTACAATTGACATATTTTAGGCGTGGTCTTTGTGGTAATATGTGTGTTTTTGTTAGGTGTTTTTAATATTTGGATAGAGTTGGTTTGGCTGTTTTCAAGCATGAATAAAATGAATAAATGTTTTCCCATTTTAAGGTTCCTGACTTTTTAGTGCAATTTAAAATGTGAATATGCAAAATATGGAAATAGTTGAAATAAAATAAATATTTCTCAGAGGATGTAGCTCTTCCTGGTAAGTGCTTTTTTACTGGTAAGAATGAGAATTCAGACTTTAGCAAGCATAAGCAAATGCTGGATGGATTAAAGGGCAATGGCCTGAGAAATACCAAAATGTGGTTGATGATAAGGAAAGACTAAATGTATGTATGTTTGTTTGTTTGTTTGCTTTAATGAGGTCCTCAGTTGATAAGTTCTCATTTTAGCAATGCTTGATCCCTTCATCAATAAACCTATCTGGAAAAAATCTTAGGTTGTTGAGTAGTAAATAAAGGGTCAGTTTTTTCTAAAGAACAATCTGTATTGCCTGATTTAAATGGCCACAGTCCAACAAAATATATGTTACTATATCCAACATGAAATAAAACATCTGGGAGGAACAAATGCAGATTTTACTTTTAAGATAGAAAAAAACCTCTGTCTTGGAAACAGAGAAATCTTCGTCATCTTAACAAAATCCCATTTCTTGAGTGCTATTTCATATATGCACAAAAGAAGCTGAACATTTTGTATGAAACACTGACTTAAAATTACAATACAAAACATCACAATCCAAGATTTCTAGACTACTGTGTCCAATTTCAATGGTAAAGTGTGAGAAGAGAGGGGAAATAAGAGATGGAAGAAAAGCCACAAAAATGAACAATGACTTGCTTAAACAGTAAAGTAAACAAGACTCCTTGAAATAAGTCATCATTCTGAAGCAGAAGTTGTATCCAAATGAGGAGACTAGTAAAGAGCTTTAACTTTGGCAAGTTAAATATAAACCATAATGAGGTAGAGCAAAAAAAATGTTGAGGAACAACTTTGTAGAGACTTTAAAAAATAATAAAGCTTTTTGTCGAACTGTCAAAGGCAGAAAACCTGTCAGAGATCTCGATGAGCTGATAGAGGTTCATAATATTACATGTTAGCTGAGGGAAGGTAAAGCCGCAGCAGAGAAGTTATTTGCATTGCTATTCACTGCAGAACAGTTCCCATGTGGACCCTTCATTTCCAGGGCACAGGCTGGGGGAATGTGACAGAAGCTTGACGTTTTGGAGTGAATTCCAGCACAAAGAATTGCTAGGAAAAGTTCTCACTTTGTGAGGAACTCGGTGTTGAAGTTGCCGAGTTACACACGGTTGTGTGTAATCATTGCTTAAATTGGCCTTAGAATGGAAGAATGAAAAGCAGTAAACGTGCTGGGCTTTTCAAGAAGGGTCTGGGGGATTCATTGGGAAAGTGGAAGCTAAGAGCAAGCCTGGTTTCTGTATCAGGCTCCTCTTAGAACCTAAAAATAAAGAATAGAATTAATGTTTGTTCACAGATAGAGAGGAGATAAGTTGTCTCCTGCAGCAGGAACTTCTGTCCTGTAAATCTCCTTGTGTTGTTTCAATGACTGGATCAGCATTTGATAAAGGTGATTTAACTAATGCAATATATCCACAATGCAAAACTGTAATGCACACATACAAAAAGACCCCAAAAAACCAAAAAAACCAAACAAACTCCTGCTTGAAAAACCAAAAATAACCAAACTTGCTGTTTGAAATATTTTTGGAAAGTTAAACTGGTGTCATTGTGTAGTTATTAGATAGTGACTAGGTAAATAGTGGAAACTGTATGGAAAAAATAAGATTGGACAGTACAAGGATGTTACTCCTGGAGTCTTCTGGAAGAAAGTGTGCTGGGATCTCTGCTGTTCCAAGTGCTCATAAACTACCTGGAATGGAGGATGAATAATAAAGCACTACCACATTTTTCCAGGTGGTAAGACCAAAAGCTGACTGTGAGGTATGTCAGAGGGATCTCACAGTGGTAAGTGGTGGGGCAAGAAAATGGCAGGCCAATTTCAGTTCTGATAGAGATAAGAGAGTGTTTGTGGACGCAACATAATTTGTTTTATTACCCAAGACTGATCAGACAGTTTGTGGGTGTATGGTGGACTTAGTTGTGCCTTAGTTATACTCTGTGAAGTAGAGCAAGCAGAGAGTGTTCACAAGCCTGTATAACATAGTGAATGATGTAATTGGACAAGATTTGGAGATACTAAATGCATATATTCTGCTCCAGGTTTAAAATAAATAAAGGTAAGTGCAATTTCATGCTATTTCCAGTTGTATTTTTCTGTGAATGGGCTCCATAGTGGGCAAAAGATTAAAAAAAATAAAATATACTCTTAAGTATTCAGGTATGGAACTCTCTTAGTTGCATCCTAAATAGATATTGAGGGCAGCACATAGCTTGATGTAGTCCTTCTTTCTTAGGCTTTTTACTGGAGTGTTGTCTCATGGACACAGACATCAGGTGTTGGGCAAAAGGGATGTCTGGTCTAATCCCTTGCATCCATGCCTTTCTTTCTGTCACATTTTTTAATGTGACATAGTTTCAGAAAAACATCCTGTAATCTGAGTCACGACAGTGGCTCCACACCAAGAGAAATGGGTGCATGATCTCAGTACTGCATCTCGGTGTCAGGTCTGGCCAGCTGGTCTGCTGCTCACTGTAAGTGAAGGAGCTATCTCATTTCTCACTTTCCAGGACAATAGGGCTCTGCCTCTTGCAAATCTCCCAACAGCAGGATCAAAGTGCCTGAAGTGAGGTTACTGGTTTCAGAATGATATAAAAAAAATGGCAAGTGTGTTTGGTAAAATGGCATCAGTAGGTTGGTGAATTAGACTACTATGTTCAGTGAATTACACTATTTTAGTTGGTCTGAGGTCACCTACAAGTCTGGAGTTATTGCTTTGACCTTTTTGTAGAAGACACTAACTTGTATTTGTGTAACACTGCAGTCTCCTGCGAGTCTGGCCTTGCTGTGGAAACGATGCCGCCTGTGTACAGCTCTTTCTATGCCCTATTCTTTATCAAATGAGAAAAGAGACCTCTGCCCACGGTTTGTGGCTGACATGCCAGCCTGGGACAGTTCAGCTACTCAATACTCAGCTGCAATTTTCCAGCCACAAGCTCTTGTAATTTGGCAGCTGATACTAAAAATTAGAGGAGGCGGTAAATGGAGAGGGAATGTCTGCAGCCTGCAGACTTGTGTATCTGTGTTTGGTAGGGGAACATGGTAAAGAATTATTTAAAGAGCATCTGAAAGTA